GGGGGGGGGGCAGTGCAGGTGCGTGTGCACGCATGGGGAGGAAAGGGGGTGCATGCAAGTTCGAATTGCGACACGGCAACATGCATACAGCACTCAAGTTTACCCCCACCTGAGTCATCTTCTCGCGGTTGGCCTTGGGGTTGAGGGGCGCCTCGGTCAGCAGCACCGGGTGCTCCTGCAGCGTACGCGCAGGGCAGCAGTGTTCCCAGGTCAGGCCAAGAAGGACCTCAGGACGCGTTCGCATGTCTCTGCATACACCCTTTGCCTGTTGGCCTGGCAGTGGTGGGTCTTGACACACAGGCAGCCTGATCGCGCTCGTTGTCCTGCCGAGCTCACAGCCGGCCGCTGCCGCGCCCGCTGCTGCCGCCTCAGCTGCCAGCGGCCCGTGCTGCTGCTGCTGCCCCTGTAGTTTTCACCGACTGACACCAGGATGTGCGCACCTCGGGCGCCACGCGCAGCTCGTTGTAGAATGTGTGGTGCCAGATCTTCTCCATGTCGTCCCAGTTGGTGACAATGCCGTGCTCGATGGGGTAGCGCAGCGACAGGATACCCCTCTTGGACTGCGCCTCGTCACCCACGTACGAATCCTGCAGCCGGCCGTCGATGCGGACGTCAAATGCATCAGTTCACAGCCGCTGTTCATCCTGCGGCCCTCCAGCCCGTAAAACCCCACATCCATGAACCAGGCCAGGCGTGCCCGTGCGCCGCCAATGACCAGCAGTAACACAGGCCACTGCCTCGCGAGCGCGAACCCAGGACGGGGTGCGCGTGGCGAATCAGCCACCCCTTCGTCCATAGGGCATGCTATGGAAGGCGCTGCTGCCCTGCGCAGGCACGAAAGGCTGCCGAGGGGGTGGGGGTGCGGGTGCTGCAGCAGCGCCACCACCCCCCTGCACACCTCATGCATGCCCGGCAACTTGCGGCGATCGATGGCCTGAGCGCCTAGAACGTATCAAAAACGACCGTCTTGGCTACAACCGGAAGAAAACATCCCGTTGCTCACCTTCTGGCCCATGCCGACCATCACGCCCGTGTGCCGCGGCCGGCCCACGATGCTGGGGAACACGGCCCTGGGAGCATCGTCCCCGGCAAACCCGGCCTGCGTGCGGGGTGGCAAGCGTGGCTCGATCGCCGGCTAGCTCGCTGCACACAAGACCTCGCCAGCTGGGCACCAATGGCCTGCTTCCCGGCTCCCCCGTGGGCCTCACCTTCACCATGCCGGATCCATTGTCGCAGACAAGAGCGCTGACCTGACCGTCATCATCCATGGCTGCCACGATCTGCTGTTGGTGCAGCAGGGGGGGCCGTTGGGTTGAGGGGGGCGATGAGGCCCGGCCGTATGACCCTTGATCGGCGTCTAAAGTTTTATGGGATTATCACACAATCCTCAAGGCTTGAAGCAACCCCGCTGGAAGAAACGCTGCGCACAAAGATCATCACCTGTGGGTTCCTTTGGGGTTGCACGGACGCGTTCAGCTGATGGATGTCAGACACACCTTGTGGCTGCAGGCGGACGGGGCGTCCAGCCTTCTACACCGTCACAAGGAACGAGAAAAGGAGGAGAAGCCGAGCCGCAGCTGCAGCAGTTCTCCGAGGCGCTTGCTGATTATTCGGTGAAAAATGCGTCAGTTTACATATATGCATTTTTCTGAACTGCACTGGGATTCACACAGAGCCGCCGCACGAGCTTTTGCAACGAGGCACACACCACTCAGAGTGCTTCGAGGCCCACGCAGTGGAGTACGCCATTCTCCGTCGCATCGCGTGTTTAATCGCGCACTGTATAGGTAGATACAGGGAACTCTAAGAGCCCCGATATATGGTGCCTCAAAGGTGCGGCGTCTGCCGCCGCCGACGCCACCACCGCCATCGCTGCGTTTGCACCAGTCCAGCGCAGAGCGCTGCCACCTAAACGACCATCTGAGCCGCTTCAGAAGTGGCCTCAATAAGCTGCGTAGTAGTATGGTTGCCCACGGCACTCCCCTCTTTGCGCTCGGCGGCGTTGATTTGCTGCAGGGTGCTGAGCGATGGCGGCAGGATGACCAAGGGCGGGCCAGGCAGCACGCTGGCGAGCAGCGTCCACCCGGCGAGGTTGTTGCGGCGGGCGGTGCGCGCCACTGCCGCAGCGCCGCCCGTAGGCAAGGCTAGCAGGTCTAGCAGCCGCTCCAACGCGCCTATCGAGTCTGCTGGCGGGTGGGGCGTTGAGGTGCCAGGCGAAGCGGCGCCTGGCCCACAGCAGCGGCAGGGGCAGCAGAAGCAGCAGCAGCAGCAGCAGCAGCAGCAGCAGCAGCAGCAGCAGCAGCAGCAGCAGCAGCAGCAGCAGCAGCAGCAGCAGCAGCAGCAGCAGCGGGTGGCTGAGATGGCTGCTGCAGGCACACCCGCGGGCAACGCCGGCATAATGAAACGGCGCAGCAAGCGGCAATCCACACCGTTTGTGTCGCTGACCAGCCCTGAGGCACAAATGGGCCTGGCGATGCTGGGAGAGTCCCTGGCAGCTTCTGCGGCGGCAGGCCCCGACGGGCAGCTGCAACAACAACAGGGACAACAGGCAGGCGCCTCCATCAGCGACGCCAAGGCGGCGCTGCTATCGGCGGGGCCAGGCGGCAAGCGGCGTGGCAAGCTGCCAGGCGTCGAGGCACGCCCGCGGGGCGCCGGCGGGGCCGCAGCGGTGGCAGCGGCGGAGGAGGACGACGTTGATGAGCTCGGGGGCGTGCCGGCGTTCCAGCTGACGTTTGGGGCGGAGGGCACGGTGCGTGCGAGAGTGATGCTGCAGGCTGCGGCTGGAAGCTGATGATGCTGTGGGCCAGGGGGACGAGCGCACTGTCTGGGTATGCAGAGCGCCAGCCTGGGCAGCAGCCTTTGACATGCTTCAGCTGGTTCGCTATGCGCGTCATTCAGTTGTGTGTGCTGTTGTTCACAGATGCAAGAGGCCGTGCCGCTCTCGTCTTTAACAAGAGCACACAACCGGTTGACCAGCACAACAGAGCCCAACTTGGTGACCGTCTCTACGCGTTCACTGGAGTCGTTCTGGCGTGTCACTCGCGCAACCTCATGCTCATGTTTGCCCCTCTTGCCTGGCAATCAACCCTCTCATCTGGGCCGTGCAGGAGATGATTGAGTTTGATTCCCAGGGGCGGCCAAAGGTGAAGGGCGACGACGACGCTGACGAGGACGGCGGCTGGGGCGTGGACGCCGTGGGCGGTGACGTCGACGAATTTGGGGCACTCGGCTGGGATCAGTTCGACGCTATTGGGGCGGAGGGAGGGGACGAGAGCGGCGCCGCTGACGCCGACGATGGCAGCGGCTTGCAGGTGCGGGCCGCAGCGCGTGCCATGGGGCGGCAGGAGCTGGCAGAGAGCTGGCTTGATCTTGAGGCGCCATTCTGCAGTTGTGAGAGCGGTATGGCAGTGCTTGCCAACGCCTGCAGTGGGCTCAATACCACGCTCAACAGCCGCTTACCAGCCCGTGATTGACGGCGGCGTTGCACACCGTGTCGTGCTCGCATGCCGCTTCCCACTTCCCACCCTCCCAGTCCCCACCTTTTCACTCCCCACCCACTAGGCGTTTGAGGCCGACGAGGTGCGCCTGCTGCGCGACATCACAAACGAGGACGACTGGGGCCTCGACGCCCTCGGCCCCGACGCGCGCGGCCTCAGCGGCCGCCCGCGCCGCCCGTCGCTGCTCGCCCAGATCGCGCGGGAGCAGCGCGAGCGCGAGGCCGGCGGCGCGGGCGGCGCGGCGCCCCTCGGCGACGACGCTCTGACGTGGGGCGGGTCTGGCGGCGCGACAGGCATTGACCTGGAGGAGCAGGAGGAGCTGCTGTCGCGCTACTTCCGGCCGCACGAGGTGCAGCGGTACATGGCGGTGCAGCGGGAGATCGACGCAAACTACGCAGCCATGAAGGTGCGCCCGCATCCCTGTGCGGGGGCTGCTGGGGCTGGGGTCTTGCCCTGAGCCACTGGTAGTTTATCGGACAGGTGCAAGACAGAACTCAGTTTCGTTGCTTGCGCGCAGGTCTTCAGCAAACCACGCCCCCTGGTGGGCGCTGCATCGGTTGAGGGATTGGCAACCCTCATGATCCGCTCGCCCTTCCCTGCTGATACCTCCTCCATGCTGACGCAACCTCCCTGCTGACGCCCCGCCCCTCTCTGCCACCTCGAATCAAACAGGCGCGCTCTGTCGGCGTGGGGACCACCGAGCGCCGCCTGCACCAGCAGCTCAAGATCATCTCGGGCTCCGCCGCCGGCCGCCGCCTTATCTCCGCACGCGGCGCGCAAACGCGGCCAATGATGGAGAAGGTGCGCGCCGCCATATTCGACATGGTTCAGGCGCAGGCTGGCAGCGTCGGCGGCCTGCCGCCCGGCTGCCGGTGGCTCGACCTGTTTGCGGGCACCGGCAGCGTTGGGCTCGAGGCGATGAGCCGCGGCGCGGGCGAGGCGCACTTTGTGGAGCTCGACCCCTGGGTGCACCGCCGCGTCCTCGGGAAGAACATAGCAGCCTGCGGCTTCAGCCGCCAGTCCACCTGCCACACGTCCAAGGCGGAGGACTTCCTGCGGCGCGCCGCGGCCGCGCCCCGCTTTGCGGGTGGGCCGTTTGATTTCGTGAGCGTGTGCCCGCCATACCTGCTGGTGTCCTACCCCGAGCTGTACGACCTGCTGGAGGCCTCTGGGCTAATCCACGCCGGCAGCATTGTGTTTGTGGAGTACCCCAAGCAGCTGTCCGAGCACGTGCGCCCGACGCTGGGGCCGCTGACCAAGGTGCGGGACCGCAAATACGGGCGCACCTGGATCGCGGTGTACGCGCCCGAGGAGGGCGGCGCCGTCGGCGGCGGCGGCAGCAGCGGCGAGGGTGTTGGCACTGGTGGCAGTGGGGGCCTGGACGCGATAGGGGCCGAGTGGGGCCTCTGAGCAGCCCGGGTTGAGGTGTTGATGTCAAGTCCACCGCTTGATTGGCAGGGCAGCTGGGGCTGGGGTCATGTGCGTTTTTGTGGTGGGTGTGCCGGCACCAGGCTTGAAGGGATAAGGGCACAGTCTGAGTGAGCGCAGGCCCTGCAAGATGTGTTTGACGCAGCGTCGGTGAAAGCTGGATTGTGGTGCTGGCTGCCACTGCGCTCGATGTGACTTGTGCAGAGCCAGAGCCCAACAGGGGCACCTCTCTTCGCAAAAAGCAGTGCTCTCAATTGGGCCGGTAGACCGCAGCAGGGTATGACAGCTGCTGGGTGACGGACTGGCCATGCACTGAGGCCCCTGCGCAAGTGGTAGCTGCAATGACAGGCTCCTATCCCTGTCTTGCTCAAGGTTGTCCACCAGGATGTCACGTGCCTCCAAGGGCCATTGCGCCTTTTTGCAGCCTCCCACATGCAGGCTCCCACAGTCAAATGCAGGTAGCCTACCCTAGTGTATTGGAGTACGCGCAACTGGCATGTACCACAGCTACTCAAAATTATTGAAAACTTAACAACGGTGGTTCTTGATATGGCAGGGCACAGTTTCTTCGGCACAGTTCATTAGTCTACATGCTCAACGCTGGTGACCCATCCCTGGCAGCCCCTTGCTCAATTGACAACGCCGCCGCCGTGGACAAGTCGCGCAGTGGCGGGCTACTAACAAATTTCTGATCACAGCGCTTGCAATCTCTGCCAGGTTTCACGCCACGCGGCACACCGGTCGCATCCCGCCCACCGATCTCATCGCCGCACGACAATTCGCATGCCTTAGTGAAGCTTGTATTAAGCACAAAAAGGTTACAAAGGCGCACCTCCGTTGCGATCTTGGACGGGTGCACTTGTCGAGCTCGCCGCCATGGACATCCCGCAGCTTTGTGGAGTCCTGCAGGGTGCCTTGAGTTCGGAGGAAAGTCAGCGAAAGGCTGCTGAGGCGCTGCTGTTGCAGGTGAGAGTCGGCCGGAGTACTACCGCACCGCAGCCCGCAGCCGTCGTCACTGTGCGCATTTGTACCAGTGCGTGCGCACCTATCCGCCGACCTACCCACCTGCAACGCTGCTGAATCCGTGCACCCAATTTCCTCTGTGCCGTTGGTCCGTTGCACAACCGCGTGCGATGTGTCCTTCGCCGGTACGTGCAGCATGAGGGCGACCAGGGGCAGGTGGTGAGCCTTTTGCGCATCGCGGCAGAGCCGAGCGTGGACCTGGGCATCCGCCACATTGCGGCGATCACCTTCAAGAACACAGTCAAGCGGCACTGGGACCCAGAGAAAGATGGTAGGCGCCGCAGGCTGGGCTCTGTGGGCGGAAGGAAAGGGATGGGTGTGGTTGCAGGAATGCGTGCCAGCCGCAGCGGGGTCAGCCACACTTGCGCCGCTGCCAAGACCAATGCTTGCATGGATGCGAGCGGTTGTTGCAAAACCTGAGTAAGGTTGATGCAGCAGGCCCCTGGCTTCTAAAGTTTGTGAGGCAGCTGTGCTGTACCCGCATCGATCATGCAGCCAGCAGGCTGACCGTCACTCAAACCTTGCGCTCTGCCCGTTTCGGTTCCTCTTTGCCCATCTTCAGGAAAATACTCCCCGCTGGCTGAGGAGGACAAGAGGGTGGTGCGAGAGAATATGCTGGAGGCACTGCTGTGGTGAGGCTCCTTTGGAGGGGGGGGGCGTGGGGCGAGAGGGCTGCTGTTAAATTACAGCAGTTGTGGCTGCTGGAGGCAGGGGAGCTGATTAGGAACGTCTATGTCTTCAAAGTCGCAGCACGCAAGCAAGGAACGGCCTGAACTGGGTTTTTTTGCCGTGATTGGGCGGAGGATCGAGGGCATAGGACGCATCGGCAGCATCTGCAAGCTAGCGCGCTTATGCCCTGCGTTCGCCATCCCTGCCGGCTTGCACAACCCCTCCCTATCCAGGGCGCCGCCGCTGGTGCAGTCTCAGATGGCGGAGGTGTTCAAATCTCTCGTGTACAGTGATTACCCTGACAATTGGCCGGGGTTGCTGGAGGCCGTTTACGGCCACCTCACCAGCCAGGTGCGCGCAGGAAAAGGGGCACTGCAGCTGCGAGGTGCGGTGTTGAATTTTAGCCCCCCGGTGCCATTTACTGTGGCTGCGCTGCATATGACAGGGCCCGGCCCCCAAGTCTCCGCTGCGATGCTTGTTTCATGCGGCTGCAGCTCTTGTAATGAAGCACTAGGGCGTACGCCCTTCCCCCCGCCCTGCATGTGCCCGACCCTCGTGTGGACGCCGCCTGCGCCCCGCCAGGACGAGCTGCGTGTCCATGGTGCACTCATGGCGCTGCGCCTGATGGCCCGCAAGTACGAGTTCAGAGATGAGGTGAGCTTTGAGGCGGTGGGGGGCTTCAGAACAGGTGGTCGCCCGTGGGCGGTGGGGCAGTGGGGCCCCACATCAGGGACGGCATTCCCAACGCAAGTCGTCAGGTGAGGCACTGTGTCGCCCTTGCAGCCTGCTGGTGCATGTCAAGTAATGCTGCGTGCCTTGCCTCGCACAAGCCCCCCCTGCCCCATAAACCCCACCCCCCCCCCTCAGGAGGAGCGCGGCCCCCTGGTGCACATCATCAACACCACCTTCCCTGCGCTGCTGCCCATTCTCCACGGCGTGCTGGCCAACCCTGCAGCCGGCGCGGCTGTGGGGCTGACGGCGGCGCACTACACCAAGCTCGTGCTCAAGGTGGGCGGTGCACAATCCGGTGCATGGGGCCGGCATATGCGCACGCCTCTGCGTCGGCACTGCCCCTGGGGAGCGTTGTCATTCGCAGGGCTGCTTTTGTTGGCGCTTCGTTCCCTCAACTGTTGTATGAGCAGGGTTGATCCCGCTCGTATGCACCCTCCACAACGCCGTGTGGCGTCACGCGGCGCCCTCAACCTGCAGATTTTCTGGAGCTGTACCTTTATGGGCATCCCTGACGCGCTGCTGCGCGAAGACCAGTTCAGGGGCTGGATCGCCGGGCTGCACGACATCCTGCGGCGGCCACTGCCTCTGGTGTGTGTGCACATGGCTGCGGGGCGCTTTGGCCCGGTCACAGCGCCGCGTTCGTCCCTCAGGGCAGCTGCTGTCAGCTGGGGTGCTTGGCCGAACGCGTTCCACAGCAGTTGTGCGCCGCTTCCCATTTTTGCAACTGCTTTGTCGCCCGGTGTAGTCGTCAGCCCCCCCAGTTTCCATAAGCCCTTGGCAAGCCTGCTTACCCACCTCCATACCCACATGCTTGCGTATTCCCCTTGTCACGGACACCTGCGCGCACACTGCAGGACCAGGCCCCGGCTGACCCCGAGGACCGCGCCAAGTGGGTGTGGGTCAAGGCTCAGAAGTGGGCGCTGCATGTCGCGTACCGCCTGTTCACGCGCTACGCCAACCCGGGGCGATGCGACAAAGGCAACGACACGGAGTTTGCCAAGCGCTTTGCGGTGGGTGGTTGTAGGGTGTCGCGCTGGGACGGACAGCATGGCACGCGCAGGGGCAGCAGCGCGGATGTCACATGTGACAGCACGAGACGTGCTGCCTTGATGCCACGCCACGCTGCAGGGACAGAGGTTGTTGTGGTGCCCACCTTCAGACCCAGGCACACGCTCTTTCTAGCTGGCCGCCTTGCAAACCCCCACCATCTCACTTCAAACGCTGCGCCCTTCTCTCTCCCTCCTGCCCCCTGCTTGCTGCCCCCCTCCAAACACCGACAGGCCGAGGCGTCCCTGCAGCTGCTGGAGGACGTGCTGGCGCTGCTGCACCCCTTGGCCTCAGGCGGCTGGATGGCGCCGCGCTGCGCCAACCTCTCGCTGCAGTTCGTCACGGCCGCGGTCGAGGAGAGCGCCCCGTACAAGGCGCTCAAGCCGCACGTGGACGGCCTGCTGCTGCACGTGGCGCTGCCCCTGCTGGCCTTCAACGACGAGGACGCGGCGCTGTGGGCAGACGACCCCGCGGAGTTTGTGCGCAAGGTGCGCTTGCAATTGAGACGACACAGTGAGCTAGTCTGCGGTTGATACGCGACAACTGGGAATTGTCGCGAGATTGAGAGACAAGCCAGGGAGGGTGGCTGGGGCTTTGGCAGGTGCTGCGGCACACCTGAATCGTTCCCTTGCAATCCACCTTGTCTCCGCTCCAGCTTGTTAACGTGCAATATCTCACAATCTCGCCCCCCCCCCCCAGCAAATTCCCTCACCTCTCGTGACACCACGCCTCCGTTGTCTTCATACAGGAGAAACTCTCTCTCTTTCTCTTCCTCAATCAACCGGCAGGTCCCAACTGACACCCGCCCCCCCAACCGCACCCCCCCCCCGGCTGTAGGGCTATGACATCCTGGAGGACATGTACAGCCCCCGCACCGCCGCCCAGAACCTGCTGGTCAACATATCACAGAAGAAGCGCAAGGCCCACCTGCCGCAGCTCATGGCCCACATCGCCGGCGTGCTCGCCGCTCACGACGCCGCCGCGCGCGTGGGCGCCGTCCCGCTCGATGTTGCGCGCCGCATGGACGGCGCCCTGCTGGCGATCGGCACGTGCGCCGACACGCTCAAGCACAAGGCCCCCTACAAGGCCAACGTCGAGGCCATGCTCGTCCAGTTTGTGGCGCCCTGCTTCGACTCGCCCCACGGCCACCTGCGCGCCAAGGCCTGCTGGGTCGCCAAGGAGTTTGCGGACTTCCCGTTCTCCGGCGGCGCCGGCGACGCCGGCAGGGGCCCGCAGTTCTGCGGCCTGTTCGAGCGCATCATGCGCGCCCTGGGCGACCCCGACCTGCCGGTCCGCGTGGACGCGGTGGTCGCGCTGCGCGGCTTTGTGGACGAGCTGGCCGACCTGGACATGCTGAAGCCCGTGCTGCCCGCACTGCTGGACAGCGTGTTTGGCTTGATGGCGCAGATCGACAACGAGGACCTGGTGTTCACGCTGGAGGGCATCGTGGAGAAGTTTGGCAGCGACATCGCGCCCTACGCGGCCAGCCTGGCGCAGAACCTGGCGGCGGCGTTCTGGAAGTATGTGGAGGTGCAGGAGGATGAGGGCGAGGAAGACGCGGACACGGGTGCGCCTGGTGCTCCGCGGGGCTGCTGGAGGGCGGATTCGGTTGGAGCGGCGGTTTCGCAGTTGGGATCGGGCGGCTGGATGGTGGGCATCAGGTGGCAGAGGGGCGGCTGGACACTGCAAGTGTGATGTCAGCCAGTGTGCAATGCCCTATGGTAGAACCCAACTCATAGCGGATCTTTGGTTGGTTGCCCCTGTGCGTCGCGCCAGCATCCAAGCTGACCTCTTCCTCCCCACCCCGACCAATCTTGCCCACTATGCGCAGCTGCTATGGCTGCCTTTGGTTGCATCCGCACCATCAACGCGCTCCTGGACAGCATCTCAACGCTCACTGACCTGCTGCCGTCCCTGGAGGATGCCCTGTTCCCGATCATGTACGAAATGACGTCAACACGCGGCCAGGTAGGGGAGGGCCCATGGACGAGGGGTATATGCAAATCGGTCTGGGGCGACATTCATCCACTTGTATACAATCATGTGCTGTATGGCGGTTGTGAACGGCCTGCAGCCTCTCGCACCTTAGAATGTTTAGGCGACGTTGTTGCAGCAACAGTTTGTGCGTTTCAACAGGCGGTTTCCATCACTCCAAATGGCCCCCAACTCCACCAACCAACCTGCCCTGCTGCCCCCCCCCTCCACCCTGCCAGGACGTGTTTGAGGAGGTGATGGACATGGCCTCCTACTTCACATACTTCATGGACCCAATCAGCCCCCGCATGTGGACGCTGTGGCCGCGCATTCACGGCTGCCTCTTGGAGTGGGCAGTGGACTATTGGGACAACATCCTGCCGCCGCTAGACAACCTCATCAGCCGCGACACGGCCACCTTCCTTGGCAGCACCAGCCCCAACTTCCAGGAGTCGGTGTTCCAGGTGGGGTGCCTTGAAAGGCAGGGGCGTGTGTGAGCTTTCAGTGGGGCGGCCCGCAACCTGACGGAGCCACCGGTCGCGTCGAGTGGGGTGATTTAGGTTGATTGTTTGATCGGCAAGTGACGTGGCTTTGCAGGTTGTTTCATGGCTGGTTGAGGGGGTGGGCGGACTTTGGGAGTGTGCTGGCGCTGCTGGGTAGCAAGTGGCAGCTGAAGACTCATGTCAGCCAGGTCTCGCTGGTCTCAACCTCTCCTGTTGGAACCCCTGCCACTTGGCCATCTCCCATTCTGCAACAGCTTGCTTCTCTTGTTGACAGTTTGCACCACCCACCCTGACTCCGTTCGCAGAACCGGCCTGGCCAGCCCCCGACTCACCCCACATCTCCTCCACTTCGCCGACTCTCTGCCTTGCCCTTCCCGGCCGACGTTTCTTTCTTCCTTTTGCCCCTACAGATGGTCACCCACTCCTTGACTGGCGATTTCAGTGACATCGACGTGGTGGCCGCCCCCAAACTAATGGAGGTCGTCCTGGCCCACTGCCCTGGCGCCGTTGACCGCTGGGTGGAGCCCTACGTCACCCTCGCCTGGCAGCGCCTGCAGCGCGCCACGCGGCGGCCGCTGAAGGACCAGCTCGTCGTGCTCGTGGCTGTGGCGCTGCACTACAACGCCAGCCTCACGCTCGCGGCCCTGCACCGCAGCGGCGCAGCCACGCAGCTAATGGCCGGCTGGTCGGAGATGATCGCGGCACGGCGCCCGAGCGGGCGCAAGCCAGCGCACTTCCGGCAGCAGCGGTTGAAGAAGCTGGCGTCTCTGGGGCTGGTGGCGCTGCTGCGTGCGCCGGACGACGCGCTGGGGGCGCCGCTGGTGGCGGGGCTGCCGCAGGTCCTGCGCGGCGCGCTGCAGCTGCTGGGCGACCTGCACGCGCAGCAGGGCGAGGCAGCAGCGGCTTTGGCGGAGGGCAGCGGCTCCGACGAAGAGGTGCGTGCACGCATTCTAGGGCATGGATGTGATGACTAGCGCAGCTGATGTGAGATGGAGCGGGGTCACTGGCGTGGTTGAGGACAGTTGCTGCAGTGGTAATGGGTGAGGGGTGGGGGCGAGGGTGAGAGGGAATCGAGTGTCAAAGGGGCAGTTGGCCCGTGGGGTAAAATTCGCCAACAACGTACGCTCCCTTGTTATGCCATGTTTGCCAAACATCAATTTCATGGTTCTTAGGTCAGCGCACTCTCCTGCCATGTCATGCGTATACGCCCCCTTATCTTCCCCCTTCCCTTCAAGCACACCCCCTTCCACAAGACGCCGTTGCTCTCAAAACAACACTGCCTGCTGCCCCAGGGCGACGGCGACGGCGAGGACGAGGAGGACAGCGAGGCCCCCCTTGAGGCCGAGGACGATCAGTACCTGAAGAAGCTGCAGAGGGCAGCCCGCGACATCCTGGGCGGCGGCGACGGGGGCGAAGAGGATGATGACGATGGCGAGGACGACTGGAGCGACGAGGAGGAGGCATGCAGCACACCGCTGGAGGAGCTGGAGCCGTACGGGCACCTCGTGGAGGCAGTTGCAGGGCTGCAGGTCGCCATGCCAGCGCGGTACGCAGCAGTCGTGGCTGGCGCGGATGCGGGGGTGCAGGAGGGTTTGAGAGCCCTGCATGCGCACGCAGAGAGCGAAAGGCAGCGCAGGCAGTAGCAACGGCAGCAGCAAGTTTGAGGTGGTGCAATCACACCATTGGTGTGTCTCTCGTGCGACTATGTCAGCATCGTGAGCATGTTGAGTGTGCTGTGCCTGCCCTCATGACTAGATGGGAGCCCAACTTGCTGAAAGAGCAAGACATACAACATGTGTGTGCTGCTGCACTCGCACGCCACTGCCCGGCAGCTGCCTTGGCCTCAGCCGGCCAAAAGCACGGCAAGGCCTGCGCCGCGCCACGAGTGGGCTTTCCGCTCCTCAACGCCACGACCCGCAGCTTGTAACAGCCAGGTTCCGATTGGCCAGGGCCGTCACGGCCAGCCGAGCGAGGACTGCCCCTCACAATCAGCGTTGGTACCCCTGTAGGAACAGGGCGTTTGTTTCTTGCGTTTGACTGCTGTGCTATGTGTTCATTACAGAACATCAGATGCAGAGGATGTGGCCAGTACGGCGATCACGGATCTGGCAGACACACAATTACCAGGCAGGGCTGCGGCCGCTGGAAACCCTGAGAAACCGCCATCATCCAAGCCACAACGCCGCAACTTTTCTCCCAACCTCAAAGTCTTTTGGGGCAGAGGGGGGGAGCCCGGCATCACGCGCAACAGCGGGGACCCATGCAAAATACGCAAGCGATCAAAGCAGGACATGGGGCGCGCCAACCCGCAGAATACAAACGGCCACTGCGACCGTGAGGCAGGGGCGCGCACCACCCATCCATCCAGAGAACCCTGGCCAATTGAGAACAGGGTGGGCCTCACACAAGGGCCTCGTTGCCCCGCTGCTAGAGGCAAGGTCTTGAAATACATGCACTCCAACGCCCGCACGGCAGGCCCAGGCCCCAAGACGGCCTGCTGAGCGAGTGCACTCCGGCCCCTGAAGGTTCAGATGAGGAGAGAAAAGCAACATCATT